CCCAAACCATTCTATGATTCCCTGACTTTTACAGAACCTGGTTTTCCCCCTCCTCCACTGTAATAAAAGTAGCCTTATCTTCATGTCTAGAGCTTTCTTAAATGCTATGAAATTGTTAAAAACTGTTAGGAGAAACTCTTTTCTAATCATGTACACATAAACTAAGTCAGGCTTTTCAATCAGATAAAGTGCAATGGACTCACTTTCTCAAACTTTCACTCCAACTGTTCTGCTCAGTCACAAAGTGAAGCTGATTAAATAAAGCACTCCCTTTTTGTTTAGGAAAAACAGCTTGGAAATTGCATTTTCTGCTCTTAATACCTACTGTATCTTTTCGCATTTCTGGTCTTACTTAGCAGTACTAACTTGATAATGGCTTTGAGCACTGAGTAGGAGAAGATACTCCCATAACAGGTGGGTATCTTGAAAATCTACAACAAGGCGCAAGCAGCTCTCCTCATCACCAGGAAAAGCCAGGGTAGCCTGGAAGTACTATCACTGAGTTTAGACCTTTCTGCAAAAATTTCTCCTGAGAACACACCTATTTTGTAAATACTATCAGAGGTGAAGGAAGATGATTTAAGTTATCTCAATGCTTGTAGATTTTTCCACATCATATTTTTTAAGGCAGAAACCGGGGAAATGCTTAAAATTGCTTAAACGTAAAAATTCTCAACTTTCATAGTTAATCATCAGCTGTAATTTGTACTGTGTGCATTTGTACATAATGTGCAAACCATGTGTACATCTGCTATACATAACTAAATGAGCTGTTAAAGGTAGTCCTCATAGAATACCAAAGAAAGGTATTGGAAGAAAACTGCTAGAAAGCAGAAATCTTAACTTGAATCTGGGCTCAATATTCCTTTATGCTGCTGTATTTTACCTGGCTTGTCTCTTCACTAACTGCAACAGTCATCTATGGGACATTAACGTCTTCAACAAACAGTTTTACATTCAAAAGAAAGGTCAGATCCACCCAAACAATTATATTGCATTTCTAAAATCAGTAAAACGGGATTTACGTTTCTCCATAACTATCCTGAAGTTAACAGATAGCAAAACAAAGATGAGATTAAAAGAGGGGCAATTTTTTGAAGAAACATGATTAACTGTTAGTAGGATCCTCTGGGTTGAAAAAAGGAAGGAATTTAACGCAACAACATCAAAGACGAAATTGAAAAAACTTCTTAGGACAAGACCTTCCATGAATTTTCAACTTACGCAAAAACTGGTCTGACAGCATTATTCATATTTCCATAGGTTGCTCGTCCTAGTAGTTCCCTGAAACAATTCTCGGCCAGCAAAGCAGGATTCTCCTCTTTCTCTCCTCCTGTAGGAGAGGACGGAGGGCCTAGTCTGCTGAAATAAGACAAAAACACATTGATTTTACTATTGATTAATATTCATCTTCCTTACTGCATACACCTTGGGTTCTACAATTTCCATTAGTCCCACTCTTGATCTAGGCAAAAATTTTATCTCAAATGTGCATTAAACCAGAAGTGTGAATAAAATATTTTATTCTCCTATAGTTGGACTATAGATATTCATCTGCTGTCTCAGTTCTGACTACTATATATACATATGTATATGGCAGAAACAATGGCTGTTCATACTGATTTGACTTGTTAACCACTGCATTTTGACAAACTATTACCCATTACTAACACTGAACGAAGGTCATGAAACCAACCAAAAGTTGAGCATAATGTCAGTCATTTTGTTCAGACTAATGATCTCATTCACCTGCCCACTACTGAACGCACACTGTGGGTGAGTGTTAAATAAAACTCCAATACTTCTGCAGAAACAGATGGCTTGTGAGTTGAAAAAAGTCTGATTGAACTAATTAGAACATTATCACCCACACAGTTACCTTTAGATAGTGTACAAGTTAGTCACCCTCTAACTGACTGTCACCCAACATGACTATGCCGAGGACTGTGCAGAGTGCCCAGCTGCTGGCAGGGGGTTGCCCCACCGCAGGACACAGCTGAGCCCCTCAGCCAAGCTGGGGGTGCTGAGGGAAAACAGGTTTCAGAGAGGGCTGAAGGTGACACAGGCTGAGGAGGAGGAAGCCAAGGAGGGAGCAGCAGCAGAGAGACCCCAGGCTGGAGGAGGGCAGGCGGGGGCGGGAGGCCCGGAGAC